GGTGAGTTATGCTCATATAATGCTTGTCGATGTTGAAGAATTATTGTTGCACAGCATACATTCAATTGTTTCACATTTGATTAAATATACAGACTTTATGTGAGATTTTATTGCTGCTTAAAATGAGACAAGATAACCGAGAAGATAAAAACAGCTTATCTAAAAAAAAAAAAAAAAAAACTGTCTCAGTAGTTTCCTATGAAGTTTAACCTGCACAAGTTACAGGCAGACATTGCATTATGATCTCTGGGAATTGTGGAAACTAGTGAGAAAATGGAAGATTAGATGGCTACTTTCCACATCATAAATCAAGTGACTTCTGATAAAGAGAAACTTAAAGTTGTCACCGTGACTCAGCACTGTTCGGCACTGAGAAACATGTGAGCCTAATAATGGGTAGGTTACAGAAGACGCTGACTCACATTTAAAACACGAGAAAGCGAGGAAAGCTTTAAATTTTTCATACAGAATGCAAATAACTGCTCAAACACATTAATGCTCTTATTTTAATGAGCTTGGACAATGAGGTTACTTGTTTCACTTCCTGATTGTATAAAATTAAGTTCGTGCTAAACATAAGTTGGACAACATCCTGTGTCAAAATGTTGACACACTTCTAATGCAATAAATAATGAACACGGAACATTTCAAGACATGGCTCTTTGTTTGGCAACATAAACAGAGGCGCTCATCAACATTAAAGCGTTGCTTTCACCCAAAGAAACCTTTAGGAGTGAGGCCGGTTTTCTGGATCCCTTTTTCTACAAAAATGATCAACTTATGACACTTTAGTGGATAGAAATCAACTTTGAAAATAACCCTTTTAGGGATTAACCCTGAACTAAAGATGGAGCTTCACAGTTGCAGAATGCTAAACTTTTGTACCTTGTTTTATCTTTTTATCCCAGCCTTCTTCTTTGAGAGGAGTTGTAGTTTTGTTGGCCTTATCTCTATTAAAAACCACATTTATTAATGATGCAGTTTATATTGTTTTACATAAGTTAACATCAAATTCATCAATAAGATCTTACAGCCAGAATAGAAGTTTTTATTTGAAGGAAGCATAAACCTCTAGTTACTCCAAATATGGAGAGATGCAGAAAAAAAATCATTCTTTAAACAATTAGTTTACTACTGTGCCACTTTCAAAAAATATTAGTTTTTTTCAGCTTATCCTCTATAATCTATAACTGTTTTGAACTAATCTCAGTTTCTTGTATGAATGTTATTACAATGTTTTTATTGTTTTACAATATGGGAAGATCTGTATCCCACACTGTAGTTGGAGGAGCATGTTTTTTTTTACCTCATTGGTGGTTTTCTATATAGGCCATTTTGACAACAGTCAAGG